AAGTATTATTAACTGTTTCGCCTATTTGAATGAATGCACCTCTACGTGACAGTGGACCCCTGATAATTTAAATAATCAATTTATTCGAAAATATGCCGGGCAAGGTACTGAAGAATACTTCCTTGTAGAGTTGCGGTTAAGTGAAAATTGAAAAAAAAAAAAAAAAAGGCAAAAGGTAATGATTATTTGTGTTAATCAAGGAAATGTGCGCCGTGGCGTCGTGCTAGGTAAGCTACCGAAAGTTTCGAAAAAAGTACTACCAAATAAATGATGGAAATGCTACGACAAATATTGTTTTGAAGCGAAATAAATTAGCAACGAGCAACGACAACGAAATAGAAAGAATCCAGAACGGTTAAATGAACGATGAAGTAGCATTTGCTAATGGCCTGGGTCTGATCGAGTGCGAGGTTAAAGTTTGATGGCAAAACCATCTGACGGATCTGGGTTCGTCTGTCATGACTATCCCGCTGAAATAATTAATGTTCGTGGTGGCTGTCTAACATTTTAACGAGGTAAAACCGAACCTGAGACACTGCGAGGATACCCAAGAGTAAATCATTTTACCACTCGAGCTTATCCTGAAAGTTTTCGTTTTGTAACATTCAGACCGTGATACCGTGGCTTTAATCATAAGTGAGTTAGAATTTTGAATTCTCAAAAGCCGTTCCTGGATCTAACGGCGTGCCTTCCAACCTGTCATTAGTATATGATCAAAATTAGGTCTAATTTAAGATGTTCATCCAGAACGAAAGGGAATTTTGAAGGAAGTGTACGAACGCGCAGAGCCGAATTTCCGCTTACACAAGTTAAAGTTATTGCCTAATTATAAGTCATTTATCTATCACACTTGTGTAATAGAGCTAACAGTAAGAATTGGTAAGATTCAATTATCGTTTTAAATATTGAAACTAAGAACATTTGCCAGCACAGATTCCATATTATACGTGATTGCGTAAACGAAAAGATCTCAATCGAGATGGTACTACATCCGCACTCAAACGCCTCTAAATAACCCAACGTGTACTAATGCTAGAGTGAGACATTACGCACTGAAAGATAGGCCTGCCTGCCTGCCTGCCTGCCTGCCTACTGAACAGTACGCCTTTGAATGGGATCAGTTTAGGTGAACGACATTTACGTGCATGTAGCTAACAGCAAGCACTTGGAGAAACGAACTGATGATACAAGCATGCGGTTGCACCCTAAAAGTGAAAGTTTCGATTGTTAACCTAGCAATTAGAGAACTTTTTTTGTGTGGAAAGCATCATCGCCTTGTTAATAGCACGAGTTGGACTTGCAAAGGACACTCGGACGCCGAAAGGCTCGAATGGGCCAGTTTTCATTTGAAGTAACTAGGGGGAACGCGAGTGAAAACTGCGCGTACGCATAAGCCCAGGATGAGGCAAATTCTCATTTTACATTTGCCGCCAAGCTGTTATAAAATGACTGTTTGCTTTTTGCGGAGCTTTATCAATTTTGTGAGTTGTGAATATTTGAAACGACGCATGGACTCTCTGCTATCTCATGCAACCCTTGGCGAATAGACCGTGACGCGGTTAGTTCAGATGTATCACCATCAGCTACATATGCTGTACGTATATTATACTTTAACGTGTTGTTGTTTTGAATTGGTGGCAATTGGGAACTATTGAACTTCAATGCTTGCACAGTGTCTTCATCTACTGCTCTCCTCGAGTCGTTGTTAAACTGGGACGCCGTCCATCGATCGAAGTGTTTGCATATTTTTAATTTGGCTTTAATTAAAAACGTCGTCGAAAATATTTTATTGCCACTTTGAATGTTTTTCGACTGTGTCATGTATTTGAAGTGGTCCGATTTGCCATGCTGACGCCTATCTTGTATGCGCAGATCAGCCAACTTCTACCCGCAATAAACGCCATACGACTTCAAAAGCCTCAGACAGGAACTTCGCATCGATAAGTATTACATTTTTAGATTTTGAGTAGATTGATTGGCTATTTTTGGGAATTTTTCGTAGACACATGAGAACGCTTTGTTGCCACTATCTGCTAGCATTAAGACTACATGGGCCTAATGGACCAGAGTTGAATAGAGTATCCAAAAGACGGATGGTGACCAAGTATAGAATTCCCTAGATGCATCAATGCTTAGGAACGCATCGTACAGACGCAAATATCGTCCGAGACTTGCCGTTGCTAATCGTTCACGATCTATTGGCTATAATTATCCTTTGAGCTTACTATTACGAACAATACACTTGAAACATTTTACTGACCGCTTCTAATAGCTGAAGCTTTCTAGAATCTCATATATATATATATATATATATATATATATATATATATATAGACTTTTGAAGAGAATATTTTTCTACTAGTGATTTTTTACACAACTTCTTAGGTAGACTTGGGTAATCACTTCTCATTACGTACAGCTAATATGAATCTAACAGTGATATATAAATATTAGAAACCCAGCTAATCTTTACCTTAATAGTAATCCGGTCGATGACCTAGCTGGTATCTTCGCAAAAAATCCCAATTTACTTAGTTAAAAACATAGTTTCTATTTATAGCTAGTAACGAGAAACGTCGAGTGTACTTAAAACTGCATTGGTCTTGAAACAAGTATTTCGAAAGCTCAGCTTCACTGTGATTCGTACGTTCAGCTGCAGGTGAAATGGCCTGAACTGTATCGGTTTACCTGTGTGTGCCTGCGCGTATCGTCCTTAGTCGAACATGCCTGAACATGTTCAACCAACAGTTCATGGATATGATTCCGCCCGGTGAGATCGTTGTCTGTTTTTTTCTATTAAATTATTTACTATTTCTGTACTAAAGAGTTCTTTTGTCGATTGTCCAGAACAACGAACAAACCAAAGAGAACTTCCATAGCAGTTTTAATCGGTGGCCGGTATCCCGGTATCGGGTAGCTGTGAGGTGTGGCAATCAAAGTCATTGTTCACCCTCGTTAACGTTTTGCAGCGTATCTAAGGCTGGCACTATCAATGACGATAGGATAGAGAGCAGAATCTATTAATTGTCAATTAAATAAACCATCGAAGTGAGCTTTAGACGGCGGCAGTACCCGATAGCAAATCGCGTTCTGAATTTCCTCCGTTACAGAACAGCCTTGTATGTTTCTATCTCTGAACAGCTATTACTTATATTTAAACGCATGCCATGGGTTGATAACTTCACACAAAGAACAATGGAAAATCAAAGGAAAAAAAACGGAATATTTTGCATTTTACTTGTATAATGAACAAACGTCTATTCCAATATGTCGTAGCGTTATTTAACAAATATTGAAAAATTTTAACTAATAACTTAATCGAGGAACAAAATTAAACCAATTCTAAATATTTCTCAAGTCGAGAGTTGTAGTTCCCTTAAAGTAAGGCAGTGTTGTTCCACTGAAACCCCTCTGTACATCAGTCTTCCAACGAGCGTGATATGAAATACGGTCGAAGAACCGTGCCGCCTACTTAACTGTTCCTAGTAGCAAGTTATGTCTCTATGGATTTTTTTCGTACAGCTCAGCATCTTGTTCTCGGCTCCAGTGAAAGTGGTCACCTGGCACGCTCTATCAGACCGCAACAGCACCCCTACCCGTTCTGCCGCGGCTCATATTGTTATTCTCTGTCAGCATATGGGAAATAGGGAACCTGTTGATTACTCATTGCTACCCCCAACACTCACATTTGCTGACTCCAACAGACCATCCAGCACCGCCCCCTCCCTACACCGGAACGTACGCTTATACATATGCACACACACAACAAATTCCCAAACTGTGCTACGATACCGGGCTAACGTACAATGCCGATTCCTTCTCTGCTAGTTGTAATAGTGTTGAAGGAAAAATTACCACACGGGACCGACTACTGCTGCTATATCATGTTGCCCGTTTTCGGACGGCTACCACTTGCTTACCCTTACCAAAACACAGGCTGCGAGAACGCGGCGTTGATAGTCGGCTCGAACTGGTTTCTGTTCTCACGGTTCGCGAAAAGGATAACGAAGAATAGAGTCCAGTATTTCTCCTATACCCTGCCTTCGCCTCTTCTCCGGCGGGTGAGGTTCTATGCTGAAAGAGTTTCACACTACGAACCTCGAGTTCTGAGTGGGGTAAGTAAGTGCAACGAGAGTGTTGCATCCTGCTTATTGTCTGCTGCGCTTGTGGGCGTCCAGTGTATTTTAATAAGGTTCTTTGAGGTGTATTCCCCTGTCTGAGTTGAACCTATATTTCTGTGTGCGGATGGGAGAGAAAGGGCCTGAGATGGGAGCATAGCATTAACAAGCTTAAAGAAACCTCCGTGAAAAGCTTCATTTTGGCCTGTTGTTAGGACCGCATTGCTGCTGTCGTAATGAACTTTAACTGCACGATTGTACAGAGTACTGCATGATCGAAAGTTTTACTAAGCTTCATTGGTGCGGCGAGTCTCACCTCGACCAATGATTAGCTACCAGCGTATTTCCTTCTGTGCAGCATCAGCCATCGAATTGCTACGACGATTAATATAATTATTATTTTTCTTTGCTGGTGTTGGTATTATGGCGGTAGTTCGTAGTATAATTGTTATTCATTCTTCGAAAACGCAACGGCGCTTCTTCATAAGAGGGTGCCGTTCACTGGATGGTTTGTGTACAAGTTTTAGCTAATTGTTTTAAAACGAGAATTTCCAACTTTTAATGCAATAATCATCTACCGATAAACATTGGGGCTTGAAAAATGTCTGTGATCCGAAAATCGTGCTGTCTCCTAATGAAGGTGATGTAACAGGTAATCGAGGCCAGATATGTTGTGTTGATATTGAGGGGAATGGCTATGGCAGGCAACGTATCGAAGTGTTGTCTTGTGGTTAGTAGACCAATTGTGGGCAGAGTTTGTATCGACAAATTTCGATGCACCGCTAATGCCCGAGAACGACGCTGTAATTAACAGCGCGCTGAAGGTAGACGACCATAGTAGAAGTCAGGACTGAGAAGGCTAACCGATCAGGCAACTTGTGCATGATTCATTCGTGATGTTTTTTTGCTGTTAATTAGTCTGTTACATGGTGCAGTAACTACGGGAGGCCTGCCAACGGCTGAGGTTAGTTAAAATTGTAATAGGAAGTGAAAATTATAGTATATACATACTTGATTCAACACTGCCTCGACCACAGACTATAAATTTCTCGGCGTACGTTCAATGTAAGTGGGTGTTATAAACGTGTAAAACAAAGAAACGTTTTGAGTTCTACATTTAGTATTGTCTTCAATTACTGATTTAGGAAAACAGTCCTCGGAACGAAACAAAAAGCGTTTGCGCCCAGTTTTGCACTCATACCGCTTCGGGTCAATGCTTACCATATTAGGATAAGTGATTGCGCGGCCGTTGGGACTGCAAGGTGTCGACGATATGAACGGTCATTGTGGTTCCCAAATCTGAATTCTGTCTTATTACAACATTGATGTTTCTAATACTCCATCTCTTCCTTTAAAACTTCAACGCTTAGAACATTTGCATATCGTTCTAGTCTAGATCGTCCTCGTCAGGCGTATCGATAACTTCTACAGGCTCCCCATTCTTCTATCATAATGAGCCTAACCCAAACCCTTTCAAGAAGATCGTTGTGCCCCCACCAACGATGTCACCTAGCGATGTTCGTAATTCATTTTAGTGCTTGTTCTAGTTGAACTAACGACCGCTCTAAAAACAACAATATTGAGAACGTCCTGATTACAGTGCTGTCGCCCAACGATTCTTGCAGAGAGAATTTACTTACTAGCTTGTATTCTTAGACCCGTCCACGACCAAGGGGCATCGACCACAATTCTACTCCAGCTGATATTTCCTAAACGTCTAATAAAACAAGCGTACAGTAAACTTTTTACAGTAAACTTAGTAAATTCGTTTCGCGCAATTGAAGAAGCAAGCCCATCTGGATAGCTGATAGGATAGCTGATCAGTCGCATGTAATTATATATCTTTTTAGCTTGGCCATTTGTCATTATTCTTTGGTCTTCTGGTTGGTAAAAAACAATAATGTAGGTTTACTTACTTGGTAGCAGGGTAAAGGCATCTGTCTGGTTCTATGATGCCGTATAAGTACAGCTTCGATGTCCTTCCTCTCTATTTTGAAGTGAATGGCGAGAAAGCATGCGGGTCTCTCTTTCCACGCGTCGCTCACAATGAGCCGACCATCAAAGTCTTGTCCTGTTCTGTCGCCTTATCAATATCAGTATATTGTCTATCGATATCACCGTCAACCTAGACGTCCTTCGTTGGCAGTGTCCTTCTTTTTGATTAAGTGTCTGGAACTTCACGAAGCTTCTAAGGTTTCGGAGCTTTCATTGCAACAGCAACTTAAGCAAAATGCGTCAGAGGGTTATCTCATCGACTCCATCATCGTGGCTAGAACAGATTGGACAGCTATGTAGAAAAGAATTAAAATACGTAGCCCTTGACGCAGGAAATTATATGAGAGAAAATGATCTATATAAAGAATGTTACGAAATTGCCAAGTTCCGCAATCTGCGTAACGTCCGGTTTCAGCTTTTTCGTGCATACGCCTGGAAAGGTGTACGTCGATGAGTTATCTGCCTTGCTCTTTAAGTACATGCTATGTTACATCGTTGTTATGGTTTCGTCCGCAATAGAGTGTTGTCATATATATATATGTACATATACAAACAAGAGTCCTTACTATGGCTGGTGACTCTGTCTAATTCCTGGCGGAGACGAGCTAAATTATTGTTTTCAAACCAGTTTTCTAAAAATTCCATCCCAATCCAAGTCTTCCAAAATACCTCAACCCCACCCTGTACTTGGTTATCAATGTCACGCGCGGTCATAGGTATCAACCCCTAACCGCCGAATTTCACGTCGACTCGACATGCAGCTCCGCCTACGAGTACCTATTTTCGAAATTGTTGTGTTCTATGTAAGTCTCTGTCGATCTGTCTGATCAGGACCGAACATCACAAGAGTCAACATAAGGGCGTATCCTGCGACGAGTCCACTTGCGTATTTCACCTCACCTCTCTACCTACGTCCTTTTTTTTCATGACCCTTTTTCGCTGTCGTCTCACAGTGTAGACATAGTACTTTTAAAGGTGTTGTTGATAAGAGCCATGTGTCTTCATGTTATTTGCTTTTAGATATTAGGCCAGCTGTGGAAGTGCGTATGCTGGTGAACACATCACTAAGGATGACAGGCCTTTACTAGTAGTCCTTTTCGGTTAAAGTAAACGAGTGGCGTAGCGGATTGTGTCGGCTTTCATGTAAAAAGTTCATGAGCTACATGTAGTCGTCGAATTAGGGTAGTTTTTAGGCATCTAATTCTACCGTCTTGTAAACTAGCCCCGTACACATAGTCGCCTCAACAAGAAACATGATGAGTTATACGAGAATCAGATATAACTCTAAGCAGCTCTTAGAGTATTACAAACGTTAACAATACTAACTAATACAATTAAAAGCATAAGACCAAAGCTAGGCGTTGTTTTTAATGTAGCAGAAGAAAATGCTGATAATTGAAATAAATCATTTGCCAAAGAATAGGTAGATTTGATAGATTTTATATTTTCCCATGGGAACCTAGATACTAAAGCAGTCGGAATATCTAAGCCAAAACCGGGATCACGTCCTTCGGATTTAAACATCCCAAATGAACGAGTGAGGGGTATGGCTTTCTCATTGCTAACTTTTGATGTTTCCATTTAAACATTCGTAGACTAAATTCAATTAAGACAAATGGTTGTTACTGCGTTGGTATTGCATAAATGTGTGCTGTCTATGGAGCATTTTCGATTCGACTGAAGACAAAACGGCAAATTTTTGCGCGGTGTCGCCTAGTAATTTTAGAAAATCCAATTTGAAAAAGTGGTTTAGCCTCGCCCAATGACTATCCAGCGCACGTACGAAACACCCAGCCTTTACTGTTGTATCAAGCGAGAAATATGTTCTTACCCACCCATCCCCCACCCCCAACCTCATCGCCCACTCCGCGCCGCAGTAAAAAGATCGAACACCGCAAAAAGCCCAGTAGTGGCTATTGCGGCTTGGTGCCGCCATTTCTTACCGTTTCACCTCTGCGGGTAACTTTGACAAATCTATTCTATTATTATATCTAATATATGTACATCAATAGAGTAGGGCATAAAAAAACAGATGCGGTTTTTGTACGACTGCTTGTAGTTAGGAAAAGAAAAGCCTATTGTGCGTTATGACCTCGTTTTTACCCTACCCATGTAAATTAAATGCAGACGGCCATGTAAGGGGCACTGGCTAGCGTATTTGCATAAGAATGAAGATAATAGCATCTTAATTCTGCAGACGATTATTACAAAGTTACTGAGGCTTCCAAATATACCTAACTTGAAGTCAAAGAGATTTCTTGATCTTTTTCCTGTTTAGTCATTTTTGTATTGTATTTTACAGTGCTCGCATCTGGTTGGTTGGTTAGCTGGATTTGCCGTAAAATTGCAGGGCAGACGACTAAAAGCATAAGATTAGATTTTGGAAGGGAAAATTCAATCAATATCCATCAAATTTTGTTTCGCAGTGTAAACACAATGTATTTATTACATCAAACTGTCAACGGGTTTTTAATTTGAAATTAAACATGCAACAAAAATAGCTATAAGTCTCTTTTTTCCAATTTCAACGCGGCCATTACGACAGGTAAATATTTCTTAGCCTTCGTGATGTACAAAAGTGATAACGTTACGCGCCACTACCTCATATGATGCATCACCGTGGCTAGACATATGCATTATAAACCCTCATGAAGCTGATGTCACCTTTATGGGACCACCTGCAGCAGAGTTGGATATTACGGGTAGTCGATGTTATGGTTTTCGAGCGACAGAATTACCAGGACCGATACAAGCGTCATTGCCGGTAACAACAATAATATCTGCTGGCGCGTAAAGTTTTATATAGGCAAGTCCCCTTGTCGTTGTTTTTGTTTGCTCTTCATACGTGCGCGACGCTTCGTTCGTGTCTCCTCACCCACAGATCCTTATGGCTACATATCTGACCCATGGGGATTCCTTTTTTTTTTTTATTTTTTTACTGTATTACTCTTTTGCGGTCGACAACGACTGATCGATGCAGTGCCTCCGTCGTGTTCACACGCGTGCATCAGAAGTATTGAGTGTACCCATTATCCTTTGGTGAGCCTGTCCTTGCACGTACATCAGATAGCATTCGGGCTGAGAATCATAATATTACCTGGCCAAACTTGTTCGGATCCTTTGCCTCGAATAGGAACCGTTCAGTCTCTTCATCGGCTCTTCAATGGTTTCTAACTTCCATCAGAGGGCTTCGATGGTGGCAAGCAGTTACGTATCTCATCTTCCACCACCTTACTGTTTGCATGTTGCACACATATCGTGACAACGATAGCAGCAAATGCGAATGAGCAGATCGCGAGAACTGCACAAACGCACGCATAATCTCTATATTCGAAGCAACAGCATCAAATAAGAAGCAGGTTTTCGTTAGGAGACTATTTTTGGGCAACGTCGCATGTTGGCAAATGGTTAGCAGCAAGCCAACGTTATGGACGTCAGTGACCTTGCGTCGGGTTGTCGTATACCAATAAACGAGCAGTAGATAGATCTGCTTCGTGAACCAGTCCTGTTTTACCTTCTACAGGATATGATGCGTCATGCCATTCATTCGCCATCTTGCTGGAAATGGTTCATTTGAGTTTAGTGGGCGATGGGAACAGAGTAAGGGCCATTGCGTGATGGAAACAAACCTGCCGCGATGAGATAGGCCATCTGCCATAGAATACACTCACATAACCTCATGCACTAAGCGTTATTTTGACAATATGGCTAAGCGACACACGGAGGGCGAGGGGAGAAGACGAAGGGGAGTTCTCCGAGGCCCCACACTGCCCAACATACATGATGATGACGAAGCTGCGTTACGTTCAGCATAGAAAGAGTTGTAAGCCCAGCCATCTTTCTGAGCTGTCTAGGTTTACTGTGATGTGATCTATGCATGTTGGTTTGGACAACTTGTGACCGGCAGCAAGCAAGGCCCGAAGATTGTGTACTTCGCACCTATACTATACATGAGTAGACTAGACGTCT